TTTTACTACATTTCCACCACATATGGTAGAAGGTCCCTATATTCGATTTGCACTTCCAACATAAGTTGGGCTGCCCGGAATAACATTTTGCTATTTTATCCGGGGACCAGTACCATCTGTGGAACATTTTATATACATTTTCCTTGTAAGAAATGGCTTTCATATATTTAATAGTTTTCCAAAATTTTGAGCATTGCTCCCATTCTATATTCTCTCCTACATCTTTCATCCAGGTTAACATCACAGTTTTAATTGTTTCATCTTGTTCAATGGAGGTCCACCAGCAGGTTGGCTTGATCCATCATGTCTTCTCTTATGTCCCCCTCCCTCTCTCTCTCTCTCTCTCTCTCTCTCTCTCTCTCTCTCTCTCTCTCTCTCTCTGTTTGGCCCACCTCACAGGACTGCTGTGAGTACAAGAATGGAGGAGGGGAGAACCACATATGTGGCCCTGAGCAACTTGTAGGAAGGACATGATAAAAAGAAAAATCTGATCATTAAAAGGAAGTGCATAGAACTTCAGAATCGATCACATGTGTTGCTTCTCCGTTATCGTTCTCCCACTCATTAACCTCTTGGGTTTGTTTGTTTGTTGCAGGCGAGACTAGACTTAGGTTCTGAGGAACTGACGGTCAAGTCCCCAGCGGGGCCGCAGCTCAATAACCTCGTGATCCACGACGCCGATCTGCTGGTGGCCGACGGGCGGATGTCCTTGACTGTGGACGGCCTCTTCAATGCCTCCGTGGCGCTCCCGGCTCCTCCGAATCAACTGGACATCGATTACGGCCTCTACGTGGGAGGGACGGGGAGTCTGGAGCTGCCGTACCTCACCGGAGCGAGTCTGCCCTTTAGGGGCTGCCTCCACGCCGTGACGTTCAACGACCACGATGTCCTCTCCGCCCTGGCGTCCCGCTCCGGTGCCAGGAGAGTCCATGGCGTCCGAGAGGGGTGCAGCGAGGAATTCTCCGCTGGGCCTGATGACCCCTTGGGCTTTTTGGGGCCAGATTCTTATATTGCATTCCCCAGTTGGAGCGCAAGAGCGGAAGGAACCATTGAGTTTGTGGTCACCACCAGCGTGAAGCAGGCGCCCCTGATTTACCAGTCGGGGCTGCAGAACGACTTCTTCTACCTGGAGATCTTCGATGGGCGCCTGAGGGGCGTGGTGGAGAAAGGGAACGGGCCCGTCGTGCTGCACAACAACATCTACCTCAGCAACGAGCAGGAGCACTACGTCAAGGTCCACATGGACGTCCGCCGGTTCGAGATCCTCGTGGACTACTACGCCTCGCAGACCTCCAACAAGGGGATCCACAACTACCTCGACCTCCAAGGGCCGCTCTTTGTCGGCGGCCTGAGCGAGAAGGCCGCCAGCCGGTTGAGGGAGCGCCGACTGGCTTTTGCCTCAGGGAACGGCTTCTCCAACAGCTCCTTCGTGGGGTGCATGGAGGATCTGAGGGTAAACCTGGAGAAGAGAAGCCTCCGCGACGCTCTCGTCACCCAGGACATGACAGCCGGCTGCGGGATGCTGGAGCAATTCGCGGAATACGACGACGCGTACGAGCAGGATGAAGCTCCCAAGAGCCCTCCTCCGGATTATTGGCAGGGTCCGATTGTGGAACCCTGTCACCCAGACCCCAACCTCCCCCCGGTCTTTGCTAACTTCACCAAACTTTTGCATGTCAGCCCGTTGGTCATTGCCGAAGGGGGCACTGCTTTCCTGGAGTGGCGGCACACCCAGCCGACCATCGATCTCAGCAGCGCTAATATCAGGCAGTCTCAGGTTCTCCTCAAAGTCACCTCAGATCCACGCCATGGCCAGCTGGAGCTGGACGTCTTCAGCGCCAGGAACAGAAGGAAGTTTACTCTGTTGGACATCGTGAACCGGAAAGTCAAGTATGTCCACGATGGCTCCGAAGGGCCCATGGACCAGGTGTTGCTGGAGGTGACGGTCACCTCCAGGAGAGGGGTTCCGGAGTGCTTGTGGCAGGGCCAGATATATCTGCTTCCCATAAAGATCAACCCAGTCAACGATGCCCCTGAAGTCGTCTTTCCGCACGGAGACCTCATGGTCATTCTGGAGCACACGCGCAAGGTCCTCGGCCCAGACATCATCCAAGCCCTCGATGACGACACCCCTTGTGATAGCTTGCGGTTCCAGCTGCTTGGTGGGAAGAGAATGGAAGAAGGTTACGTGGAGTACGACTTCAGTCCTGGAGTCCCGATTGAGGAGTTCTCCTGCAGGGATTTGGAAGCGGGCCACGTGGTGTACGTCCACCAAAATGGGCCTACGTCGCCGCTCATTTTCCAGGTCAACGACGGCATGGTCATGAGTCCGGTAGCTACCTTGAGGGTGGTGGCCATGGAGCCTGACATCCAGGTACGCAACAACACGGGCCTCGTTGTCTCACAAGGGGGGGTCGTTCCGATCACTACAGCCAACCTCTCTGTAGAAACCAATGCAGTCCAACAAAAAGTGCCCATCCTGTATCAGCTGACCGCACCCCTCCAGTATGGCGAGATCCAAAAGCAAGGGGTCGTGGGTGGGGAATGGAAGGCCGTTGAGTCGTTCCACCAGCAAGAGGTCGAGCAAGGGCGCGTCCAGTATTTCAGCACAGATGCCGAGCTCCTCGCAGAAGACGTGATTGAGAAGGTCCGTTTTGTGGTCCAAGTAGGCCAGAAGACCCTGAGGAACAACACGTTCCTCATCAGGATCAAGAGGGCCACCATCAGGATGAAGACGATGGTCCCGCTCCAGATGAGGAATGAGAGGCAGAGGAACATCACTGCCGCTGAACTGGGGGCGGTTCTAGAGGAGGCGGGTTCCGGCCCGGTGTTTTTCCACTACCTGATCGTTCAACCACCCAAAAAGGGGAACCTCGAACTCCAGGGCAGTAGGCTGACCGAGGGCTTTGGTTTTACACAAGAGGATCTGCAAAGCCATCGCCTTAGCTACGCCGCGACCATCCGAGACTCGAAGGAGAGCGAAGACTTCTTCCAGTTCCGTGTCATGGCAGAGGAGCACTACTCGCCCGTATACACTTACACGATACATGTCGGGGGAGATCCAGACGCCCCTACACTGACCAATGTCCTTTTGTCCGTTTTAGAGGGAGGGCAAGCCGTAATTTCCAAGGACCATTTGTTTGTCAAGACCGTGAACAGTATGGACTATATGTACGAGGTGATAGAGGGTCCGACACACGGGAAGCTGATCTGGAGAACCTCAGGGAACTGGCCCTCCAGCCAGGAGTCGGTGACCAAGTTCACCAACGAAGACATCCTCCGAGGCCGTCTTGTGTACCAGCATGATGACTCCGAGACCCTGGAGGACGACATCCCCTTTGTGGCCATCAGACAAGACGAGGGGAGCTTGGATTCGGATGCCGAGGAAGTGAGGGGTGTCTTCAGGGTCTCCATTCAGCCCGTGAATGACCACACGCCAGTCCAGGTGGTGAACAAGGTCTTCAACGTGGTGCGTCACGGGCAGCGCTTGCTGACCACCGATGACATCGCCTTTGTTGACAAGGACTCGGGCTTCTCGGACACGCAACTGGTGTTGGTGAGGAAGGACATTCTCTTCGGCAGCATAATCGCCGTGGACAACAGAAGCCTCCAGGTGTACCGTTTCACTCAGGACGACCTGAGGAAGAAGAAGATCCTCTTTGTCCATTCAGGGGCTGACCGAGGCTGGATCCAGTTCCAGGTCTCCGATGGCCTCCACCAGACCGCCACGCTTCTGGAAGTGCAGGCCTCTGACCCGTATCTCAAAATCGAGAACCACACCGGCTTAGTCGTCCGCCAAGGTGGCCAAAGGACCATTGACTCTTCCGTCCTCAGCTTGGAAACCAACATGGACATCAGGAACGACGAAGACATCCTCTTTCGCATTGTAGCCCCGCCCCAATGGGGAGTGGTCCTTCGTGGGGGTCAGGAGGTGTCATTCTTCACTCAGAAAGACCTGCTGTCGGGAGAAGTGGTTTACCAGCACAATGGGAGCAAAAACTCCCAGGATAGGATCCATTTCTCTGTGGAAGTAAATCAGGTGGTCGTGGAAGGTACACTGAATGTCGCAGTATCCCTGGAGTCCCAGACTAGCCCGCTCAACTTCGTTCATCACGAGAGGATCCACATCCCCCAAGGAGAAGCAGTGGAGATCAAGAACGACTATCTGCTGGTAAGTTCCCTTTCCCTAAAAATGTTTGTACTCGCTCCTGATCTCTCTAGCTGAAAATCCACTCCAGGTGCAATATTTGGCAAACAGCCATGACTAAGAACATGTAGGGCGTCATCCAGCCCACCTTTGAAAACTTATTCGATTCAGCTCGATTCGAGTCCAGTGGCCCCTCAGAGACCAAAAAAGATTTTCAGGGTGTCAGCTTTCGACAGTCAAAACTCCTTTGACTCTTGAAAGATTATACCCTTCAAATCTTGTTGGTATCTAAGATGCTACCCTGACCTGGATAGCCCAGGCTAGGCCGATCTTGTTAGATCTTGGAAACTAAGCAGGGTCGGCCCTGCCTAGTATTTGGATGGGAGACCTCCAAGGAATACCAGGGGCATGACACAGAGGCAGGCAATGGCAAACCACCTCTGAAACGTCTCTTGCCTTTAAAAAAACAAGTCTAGTCCACCACCTAGTGGGGCATAACACTAAAGGAGCTAGAACTTCTGGCTGCCGGACAATCTTAGGATCTCCTAGCTATACTGCACACACCGCCATTCAATAAGTATTAATTATTATTTTAAGATGCCGCTGAATTCGATGCTACCAGCTCCTCTCCTGGAGACCCGCATAGCTACCCTCTGACACATTCTTTTCAGTGGCAGGGTTTATTTGTTTGTAATCGGCCTTTCTAGCTTAGATCCAAGGCAGATGATGTCATGAAAACGATGCCGTGTGAACAATATGAAACGTACAACCAACAGTGAATAAAACTGGACCAATGTTAGAGAACAGAACGCACTAAGAACAGTATAATACATACAATGCAAATTAGGTCAATGCATACAAACCATGCATCAGGGCTGGATTTCAAAGTTGTGCAGTGAATAAAACTGGACCAACATTAGAGAACAGAACGCACTAAGAACAGTATAATACATACAATGCAAATGAGGTCAATGCATACAAACCATGGGATTGCAGAATGATTCAGATAATATGGCACAACAATGCATACTCTTTGCATATGTGTTCCAAGAGGTCCCTTTCTTTGCGGCTTAAAAATGCTGAACTCGAGCTGCGTCTCATTACTGTTACACCCACAAAAGTATCTCGGCATTGGCAAAGCATCGAGGCCTAGACTCCTTGCAGCCTAACAGTAGCAATATTTAAAGGACAGAGGAAAGAGAAACAGAAAAGGAAGAGGGGGGAAATTAGGAGACTGTCTAGTTGGCCTGATCCAACCTGGCTTCTCTGATGTTCTTACGTTCTTAATTAACCTTCCAGAGCCAGTTTGGTGTAGTGGTTAAATGCACAGACTCTAATCTGGGAGAAGCGGGTTTGATTCCCCACTCCTCCACTTGCAGCTGCTGGTGTGACCTTGGGTCAGTTACAAGTTCTCTCAGCCCCACTTACCTCACAGGGTGTTTGTTGTGGGGAGGGGAAGGGAAAGGAGTCTGTGAGCCGCTCTGAGACTCCTTTGGGTAGTGAAGGGCAGGGTATAAATCCAATCTCTTCTTCTTCTTCTTTTACCTCACAGGGTGTCTGTTGTGGGGAGGGGAAGGGAAAGGAGTTTGTCAGCCGCTCTGAGACTCTTTTGGGTAGTGAAGGGCAGGGTATAAAGCCAATCTCTTCTTCTTCTTCTTTTACCTCACCGGGTGTCTGTTGTGGGGAGGGGAAGGGAGAGGAGTCTGTAAGCCGCTCTGAGACTCCGAGTGAAGGGCGGGGTATGAATCCAATCCCTTCTTCTTCTTAATGCACCTTCCTCTCGCCAACATGCCGTTCATGAAGCATTTCCTCGTCTTCGATTCCCACCCTGCAGGTCCAACATGAGGACATCCCTCCCCAGGAGATAGTTTACACGGTCACCGTCCCTCCCCTCTCAGGGTTCCTCGTGGCCCTGTCTGAGGGCCCAACCTCAGAAGAACCCCCGAATCTGGATCCCATCCAGTCCTTCACCCAAGAAGACATCGACGAGGGCAAAGTCCTGTACCTCCACTCCAACCCAGAGATCCAGAGCGACCAGTTCACCGTGGACATCACGGCTAACGGGGCAGACACCCTGGAGGGGGTCGTGGTGTCTCTGGAGATCCTCCCAATCTCGATTCCTCTGGAGGTCCACAACGTCACCGTCGTGGAAGGGGGCGCCAAGGCCATCTCCATGGAGGTCCTCAACATCCCCAGCACGTACTTCTCCGCTCTCAATGTCGAGTTTGTGGTTCTTCAAGGTCCCGAGCATGGAACTCTCCAGAATACGGAGAGACCCGAAGAGGTCAACCTGCGAGGGTTCTCCTGGTTCGAGGTAGGAAGGCCGGCGCTTCCAAATTTATTTATTTGGATTTCTATCCCGCCCTCCCCGCAGCCTCAGGGTGGCAAACAGGGGCATAACGCCGGATAATAACAATAAAACAGTAAAATTCTGACTAAAATTACAAAATAAGCCATTTAATAATTAACAAAAGTTCTTAAAACACTTTCCGGTGCTCTCTACTCATATCCAAATTCTTACCATCAAGATGGTGTTCTCCATGATATAGTTGCGTAGCCGTACCCCCCCCTGTTGTCACTAGGCATGTCCCACTCCCTCCGATGGAGCCCGCT